GTGGCTGGCCTTGTACGTAAGAGGTGATGAACAGGTGGGGCTTTCCTTCTTTTCCTTTCCTTGTTTTGCTTTTTTCCGCCTTCGCGCTCTGATTTACAGTGTGACAATATATGCGCCCTCTAGGCAAAATTCGTTAAAATTAGCCGTATGGTTTAATCGAAATTTGTGGAGTCTTTCTATGGATTAAAAAAAAAGGATTGTGTAACCTCAGAGTCCGGTAAATTAGGTCACACATCGAGTGAATGCTTAGTGGAGCGGGCCACTATTTTTTGTGAAAGTTAGGGCTTTGCTTGCGCTCTTGCATTATTCTGAACGAATTTGTCCATAGTATCAGGCTGGATTCACCGCTGGAACGAATTTGTCCATAGTATCAGGCTGGATTCACCGCTGAACGTGGAGCCTTTCGCACTTGTAAAACCGACATGGGATCGCAGACATTCTTCTGCGAGATTCGGAGACTCACTCTTCTGGAGGCAAAATACATTATGCACAAAAGACAGATCATGGCAGTGCATTGAATTGCCTTCATTCTCATCTTGCAACATTTGGTGAGTGTTGGAGTGAGGCCCATAGTTTGCATAGCATGATTGGATCTTCTGCCGAAAATCATAAAAAGTTAAAATTAAATAAAATTGTGCGATCCCCTCATGCTCTGGATCAGGCTCTAACAAGAGCCTGTGCAATCCATTCTGCACTCTGGAAATTCGGCTTACTGCAAATCCGTGAGACAGGACAAGAGCATGTCGGAAAAGGACGAGTGATGTGATATCGCTAGCGCGAACTACTCTAGTGTGAGGAAAAAGAATGAAGTAACTTGGATGTCTCAAGAAGCCAACAAATAGACTACGGAAAAGCAGGCCAAAAAAAAATGAAAAGAAAAGAAGAAAAAAGAAGAAAAGAAGAAAAAAGAAGAAAAGAAGGAAGACAGGTATGATATGATGGAACTGGGTGTTATATAATTGTTGTTCTTTTTCCCCCCCCAATGATCCGTTTAGTGAAGACCCGGGGATTTTAGTGCGTTGAACCTAACGTTATTTTGCACTGACCCTGATCTTCTTCAGGCCTACCGGGTCACAGCGATGGGGAGCAACCACGTGGATTTGGCTTAGGCCAATTTCTTTTTTCTGCGTTACAATTCTTTTTCCTCGAGTAATTTGTATCTTTTTTTGTATTGGATATAACATAACAGTTGTAGTCAACATCTTTGATTTATTCGTGGAGAGCAGCACGTTATGAGGATTAAAAAAATGATTGCTCAAGTTGCGGGGCGCTCAAAACTTTTGCCGCCCAACGTACCAACATTCTTTTTTTTTTTTTTTTTTTTAACGTACCAACATTCCTGACTTAGTCTCCTGATGGAATCAGATGAATGGAATAATTCTGAGCTACTGCGTCCGGTCAGTTCTAGGATGATACCTCAAGGCCGTGGCTCCTGAAGGTAAAAAGGCAACAAGTAGATACAGCGTGAAGGAAAAGTTAAGAATAGACGTCTAATCTGTGCTGCTGAAGGTCTGGGTACGGAAAGGGAGTACCGGTTTTCAGTTCATGACCAACCCCTGATCTCGTTGCCCTCTCTCCGTCAGGGTGTTGGTTGTCGGGCAGCGTTGATGTGTGACTCCAACCGGGGTTAAGGTGGATTTACGCTCAGGTTATCATCGGTCAGGGAGCTCTGCAGACTACAGAGGGTTCAGCCTCCTGATGAGTCGGTGAAATTTCGAGCTAAGTCTGTTAGACAGCCCCCCGTTTGTTGTCCTCTTCTCCCTCTCTGCCTACGGTTGACCGGGAAGTTTTGTTTGAGGTTATATATACATGTATGAACTCTGTTTGACGATATATATATTGTCACACTGGAAATCGGAGCGCAAAGGCGGAAAAAGACAAAACAAGAAAAAGAAAAAGGAAGGAAAGCCCCACCTGTTCGTCACCTCTTACGTACAAGGCCAGCCACGTGGATGACAGGTTGAGCGCTGGCTGCCCCCATCCCCGTGTGTCATAAAGACCCACTTGCACGCAGCCAAAAGGCAAAGAGGTAAAGAAAAGGCGGAGGAAACCAAACCTCACAGAAGAAGAAAGCCTATTAAACAGACGAAGCAAGTGACACATCCCACAGAAGAAAGCCTATTAAACAGACAGAAAGGTGGATTCTCACTTACAGTGTAATCAGCTAGGGGATTCTGCAGACTGTTGAGTGTTCAGCCTCCTCATGAGTCGGTGTCGGTGAAACTCCGACGAAACAGTTTGTCACAAGCCCCCGTTTGTTGTCCTCTTCTCCCTCTCTGCCTACGGTTTACGGGGCAGCTCTGTTTGATGATATAAGAAAAAAAG